CCCGTGGGTTGCCTCTTTGTTTTGTTGACTGTTTCCTTTGCTGTGCAGAAGCTTTTGATCTTGATGAAGTCCCAAAAATTCATTTTTGCTTTTGTTTCCTTTGCCTCTGGAGACATACCTTGAAAGAAGTTGCTGTGGCCGATGTCGCAAAGGTTACTGCCTATGTTCTCCTCTATGATTCTGATGGATTCCTGACTCACGTTGAGGTCTTTTATCCATTTTGAGTTTATCTTTGTGTATGGTGTAAGAGAATGGTTGAGTTTCATTCTTCTACATATAGCTGTCCAATTTTCCCAACAACATTTATTGAAGAGACTGTCTTTGCCACCAAGAATGCGAGCTCCTAGTTAGGTTTTATGATAGGGTTTTCACAAGCTAATTGGTCTCTTTCCATTTCCCTCCTTTCCTGACTTGCCATGTCTCAGTCTGTCTCTCCCCATTTCAATCTCTTAAAAAAAATTATTCCCACCATCATTCAAATATGAACCCTGAGCAAACAGTAAGGACATATCTAGAGCATTTTTAAGACAGGAGTTCTAGCTGCAAGAAATCTTACATAAATCCTAAAAAAAAAAACCACACATTACTGAATTCATTTATGAGTTCTAACAGTTTCTTTTTCTTTTTAAGAATCTTTAGGGTTTTCTATATATAAGATCATGTCATCTGCAAATGGATAATTTTACTTCTTCCTTTCTGATTTGAATACCTTTTATTTATTTGTCTTGCTAGCTGCTCTGGGTAGGACTTCCAAGTGAGAGCAGGCTTAAATTTACTGCTCACCATTTTCCCTTTCTGCTCACATCTCCTCCATTAATAGTGGAGAATTGGACCTTCTGTGGGACATCCTTTTAAAAACACTGATTTCTAGCCAGCAGAATAAAAGCGCTACAGTCAGTTGTACCTAGACGTTAATTCAGTTATTCATTGATTTTACAGATATTAATGGATAACCTATTATATGGCAAGCAGTATTTTTCATACTGGGTCTACAGAAATAAAGAAAAGTGACCAAACTCTGCCTTCATAAAGCTTACAGTCTGGCTGAAGAATATTTTTATCAGTACAAAAAAATAAATGTTGGAGTATATGACATAGTGAGAAGTACTAAGGAGAAGAATAAAGCAGGAGGAAGAATAAGGAGATTATGTGGAGGGTAATTTAGTAAGTGACCAAAACAGTTGAGTCAAGGGAGGTGAGGAGGAACACTCTGTAACTATCGGGGAATATTCTGGGCAGAGAAAAGAGTGAGCACAGATATCCTGGGGCAGACACAAGTCTGGCATTTAAGGAATAGCAAGGAAACAACAAGTGGATCTGAGGAGAGGAGAGCAAAGAGGAAACTAACTGCAGGGCTGGAATTCTGGCTCTGACCCTTCATAGTGCTGAGAGAATTATCTAAACTCCTAACCCTCTATCCTGCACATGGATAATATTTCCTAGGGCTGCATGAGGTTTAAACAAGATTGCATACAGCGTAGTATTTCGTACAGTGCCTGGTTCATAGGGAATGCTCGAACAGGTTTGAGGTGATCGCTATTGCTTACAGGCTAAAAATCCAAGATTAGAATTGTGGATTTACAAGTTCACCCTTTACTGGCTGTGTGACTTTAGGCAAAGAATTGAACTCTTTGTGCCTCAGTTTTCTCATTTGTAAAATGAAGATAATAACAGAACCTCCCGCATGGAGTGGGTATGAGGATTAAATGTGCTAATATATGTAAAGGAAGTAGAACAGTGCCTGGTAAATAGTAAGGCTCCATAAAATGAGCAATGATTATGATCATTAATGAGTTCCCAATGTGTTCCAGGTCAGTAAAAGAATAGACCAAAAATTAAAGTCGTTTTGATGTCAGCCTTTCGGGAAAAGGGATTCGTGGTATTGGCTGGAGCTAGCATCATCTCAAGGCTCACCCGGAGAAAGAGCCACTCCTAAGCTCACTCGTGTGGCTGTTGGCTGGATTCCCAGCTATTGGACTGAGGGTTTCAGTCCTTCCTTGTCATTTGAGACAACCCCTCAGATTCTTGTTTGTGTGCTTCTCCAACACCGTCACTTGCTTCATCAAATTGTGTAAGCCTAGAAGTTAATAGAGAGGCCAATAAGACAGAAGCCATAGTCTTTTGCAACCTAATTGTGGGAGTGCAACCCATCACTTGTGTCTCATCTACACAGGAGAAGCAAGTTATTCGCTTCAACCCACACTGAAGGAGAGGGGATCACACAAGGCTCTTCAAGGGCCATCTTTGCAAACTGTTTACCGCAGAATAGATGCATTCTCCCCCAACACCTTCTGCAGCTCGGGGCGTGTTCTACAGAAGATCCTGCCTTTGGCATAACCTCAGAGAAAAAGGGAACCTTAAGAAAGAATGAAATTAACTTTACTGCCAGGCTGACCAACTGGGGCTTCAGAAGAAAAACTGATTTCCAGAAAGCAAATAAGGAACATATCTTGGACATTTGAGCGGATGATTCACCTATTTCTCATTTCTTTTATCTTATTTCATTCCCCAAGGCATTCTGCAAAATGTGTATTATTACTCATAATTGAAAGAATTGCAGCTCAAAGAGGTTAAGTCACAAATCCAAGGTTGCACAGATGGTAGGTGGACAGAGCTTGAATCTCAGTCTGTGCAACTCCTAAACCCACACCCTTTCCATATCCAAAGCACCTTGGTGTTGCTGGAACATATATATATTTTTTATCATTTACAATAGTAGAGATTTTTAGGAACCCACCGATAGGAAATTCTTTGAGTTGAGCTAAAATATAAATATAAAATGTAAAATGCCACCCATAGAGGTTCCTGTAAATCTCAACCTTTGGTGAATCAACGTACTGCCACTACAGACATTTTCACAAAATCCAGTTCCTGGTATTGAATAGTATGCTGAATTTAATAGCATCAGTGCGTTATCACCAATAAGCTTAATTGATTTGGACAGAGCACAGCTATGTGCTACTATACTGGAAAGGGTCAGAGGATGACAAGCAAGAAGTGTTGCTTCTCTGGCAGTTCTTATATTCTCACAGCGAGGGTGATGAGGTAGCTCAGAAAAGCATCCCTCGAGTGACCAGGCTACATCCAGCTGGCCTGATTTGTGAGCTACACATTGCCTGTTGCCGGTCCAGGGAACTATTTTGAGTCTTCACCATACTCCTGGGTGTGAATGCCACTGATGAGAGCCCAACAGGAAGTGTGACCTCATCCTGCCTTTCAGTCTCTGGTTACGCAGGCTGTTTTTGAAAGAAAACAAGAGCAGTTATAAAGCTGACTTTCTCAAGAACTACATGCCCCTTTATTCTAGGAAGCAGCCAAAAGAACAAGAGGCCACTGAAGACAAAACTTTCTGCAAACGCCTGCACACGCTGATGCGCGCAGGCGTCTGTCAGGAGGAGAGAGTGCTCTTCATTGCAGGACTTCTATGCACCTGTTAACACTCTGACATGATTTTCAGCTGAAGAACTGCTAAGTCCTGGATTTTTTCACCGTCGACCCGAGGAAACTTTGCATGTCAGTAATTTTTCTATTTATCACAAAGAAGAAGAAAGTGGGAACTCCCTTTGGAAGGAACATGTACGGACAGATTATTTTGCAGGATGGATGTGTTACTTTGATGGAACTGGTAGACAGAATCTGTTTCTTGAAAAGATTTAGAGCTGTTACTGAAGGCTTTTTTAGTGTTACTAATACTCGATTAACTGTTAGTATACTGCCTGTAGCTTGATATAAATATTTGTAAGAGATAGCAGTAAAACCTTGCTTTCTGCCACAGGACTTGTTGGTTTAAAATCAAACGTAACACTTGGGGAAAGCTAACATGGTATAATTTGGGCTGCACCTTTAAGATGGTATTGATCAAAAATCAAAAGGATGGTAGCAAACTATTATATTATGGTGCAAGCAATATTATTTTATATTCCAAATAAAAATCTATAAATGTATGCTTTGATTTAGAGATCTTCCAATGAATGCCAGAAATTTCTCCTGACTTCTTTAAAGGTCTCTATACCTAGGATCTGTATTTTTGAAAAGGTGTTGCATCTAATTTATTGAAAGAATCCGTTTGGAGCTGTAGGATTATCCTGGCTTGATTTAATGTATGACAGCCGCAAAAACAATCCATTACCAGTTATCACATTTTAAAAACGTGGAAAGAGGTGGTAAATTAGGAAAGAATTTAATCCTACCTTGCAAGGCTAATAGGATAGTGATGTGTAGAAAGTGTCATAGTCTACAGCAGATAGATCTATGACATGAGTGTATATGATCAAAGTCTACATAATTTACACACTTAGATGTATTTTAAATTTGTAATTGAGAAAGTAAATTTATATGTTCCTGAGAGCTGCATTTCGAAATCTGCCTGGTGGTAGGCTATTTTAAGTGCACTCTTGTACTGCTTGAGAATGTCCAGGCTGACAGTGTCTATGAAAGACCGCCAGCCCTTGCTATGACTACCTGTCAGTGGTCTGAGGCGTTGCACAAAAGACCAACACCAATCTCCAAGCATTGCTTGAAACTTGATAATGAGGGCGATGTGCATTGGGTGACAAAACTACAAATATCCTTATTTAGAGGGCTCTAAAAACCCAACCTTTTTTCTGATTTCTTAATCAAATAATTCACTTGCATTATTTATTTTGAGGACAGATCAACGGCATAAATCTAGCTTTCTCAAATAAAATGCTGTTCTTATTTACAGAACAAGATTATTTTGGATGCACTCAGACAGACAATGGGAAATAATACAAAACCGTAGATGCAGACACAATCTCAGTGGTCACTGGTTCCAGTCTCCTCCTTCAGTCCAAAATCTTGTGTCATTTGGTAAACAAGTCTGACTGGTGCAATTAGTAGATGCCATCTGTTTTGGCACGATTTTTCTATTTTTAATATATAATCCACCTTTTTTTCATGGCTCTTTCAGAAAATCTGTGAAGTTTGAACAAGCAGGCTTCCCAAGATGTACGGAATATCTCAAATGATGTCAACACCAGTGGCAAGTAAATGTAGGAGAACTGCTATGCGCAATTATCTTTTGAACGATTAGACTTCTTTTAGCAATTTCCTTGCTTTGATTTTGCTGATACTCATACCATTAACCATCTGTCAGTAGCTTGTGCTTCGTAAGTGCCAGTGTTCACTTTGGCAATGATTTTGACTTCATTTCTTTCCTTGAGAGAAATGTGGTATTTGTCTTTCTAGTAGAAAAAAAAAAAATCACTGGTTTTTTAGATGCCTGTGCATAAATGTGAAAGGAGATTGTTTATCAGCTACTATTAAGATGCAAACTGTCTATAAAAAATACTGAATGATTTTGATAGCTACTTGCAGGAAGTAAGGGCGTTGTTAAAATGGTAGTGGTTTCAAGTTTCTTCCTTCCTCTAGTCATTTTCTCCCCAAGCCCTGCTTCTAACCCCTCCCCCAACACACACACCTACAATTTACTCCTTACAAATCAACCAGCCCCATCTGAAAGCCTAAACTTTGTCTTAGATATTAATCATCCGCAGTGGAATCAAGTTTCACTGAAAATATTAGAAGTGTTCACATGTTACTGTATAAAATCCCACTTTAGAGTTTAGAATATTAATTAACTGCACTTTGCCCAACTGAAATCTGTTGCTATGCCTTTGGTTAAAGTGAGTTGAATGAATGGATGATTTTTTTTTTCATTGAGAATATTCACAGGCTTCATACATTGGAAATCATTTATATAAAACTAAACAAAACTTAATTTTTTTCCTCCACTGATGTCTTCTGCTCATTATTTTACAATGAAAGTGACTTAAAATGCCCTAATGAGAGACAGCCTGGGCAGATGATTGAATCGCTCAAATTACTGAGTAAGCTAAAATAACCAGCACGTTGGCTCATTGATTCAGGTTTTCTACAGCTTCACACAAGATGCTTTCTTCCTCCTTTTCATGAGTCAGTTTGATGCTAATGGTTTATTATTGCCTCATCCTCCACTCAGAAACCTCTAAAGGATGTTGAGTGAGAGAAGAAACAGAAGATAGAAGCCCTTCGATTATTTCTGGCTCCCCGTAAGGGTCTGGTGACAAGTTGTGTTAGTCTTGATTCACTGGATGCCTGCACCAGTTGGAATCTCTGCTGAGCCTGGAGCTATTCATACCTTCTTTGACGCCTCCGTTATTTGCAGTCAAGCATGTTGGGGAGGTGGGATAAATTTGTGCTTCTCTCCTCTTTGTCGATGCAGGTTCTTCTGGCTCTGAGAGAAGATATACTGGAGAGCTGTCTCCCACATGTGTTTTCCCAAGGTATCTTATGGGACTTTTCTCAAGACAAATCAATCATGTGTCTTCCTATGTGTCTTACTGGTTTAAAAATATTAGTTTTATCTCTCATCCAGTTTAGGCATGGGCATAAATATTTAGTCCCATGTACATGCAAAATGAAAACTTGCCTAACCTAATAATGATTTGGAGGGGGTGGCTTTGAGTGTGGGAGCACATGTGAATTGTTTGGAGAGTGGAGAAACTGTTGGAGGCTGATGAATTGTTGCTTTTTCTCAAGTTGATGTTCTCCTAAATATGCTTTACTATCTCAGTTTATAAGAGCAACAATATTCTATACCAATGCCCGAGCTGTCCAGATTCCATTCTCCAAAAAAAATGTAGAGTCTACCATTTTGTTCAAGTTCTGTAATGAAGTCTCTTCTTTCCATCCTTCCTTCTTTCTTTCCTTCCTTCCTTCATTTTTTTCTCTTTTATTCTGTCTCTTCTCTCTTATTCCTTATGCAGATCTCACTGATGTTTTCTCTAGCATTTTGTAAAATGTGCCAGTGGTATAAAGGAATCATGCCTTGGTGTTAGAACCTGCCCTTATTTGTAAATTCTAGGCCTCTTGCTACTGTCAAATGAATTAACCAAGGATGAACAAGATGGCCATGTGGAGCGAGCCCATGCTTTAGTGTTAAATAGACCAGGGCTTGAATCCTAGCCTTGTCACTCACCAGCTATTATTAAATGTCCAAGTTATTTGTCCTTCTGCATCTCATGTTTTTTTTTTTTCCCCTAAAGTGTAATGAAGATCACAATACTTAGTTTTTGGGGAGGTTTGTGAAAAGTAGATAAAGCATGAAGTATGAGCCAGGCCCATAGTAAGTTTTCAACAAATAATATCCATTTAAAATAGTACTTTACTAAATTTAGTGCATGTATTAATTGTGGACAGGTTTCTACATTTAAAACTTTACCAGAGGGCTCAGTTGGTTTAGTGTCTGCCTTAGGCTGGGGTAATGATCCAGGTCTCCTCGCTCAGTGGGGAGTCTGCTTCTCTTTCTCCCTCTGACCTGCCCCCCACCCTGTTTGTGCTCTGTCTCTCATGCTCTCCCTCCCAAATAAATAAATAAAATCTTAAAAAAATAAAAATTAAATAAAACTTTATCAGAAATTCCGTAGAGCTTGTGGCATGAGGTGGCCTTTCAATCAAACAGGCATATGGTTGTTTCTCACACCTAACACACATGGAGATTTTCACAACTGAATGGGAGACTTTCCTGGATATCAAATCACAACTGCATGGTCGTTTGTGCAGCTGACCTAGAGGGAAATCGGCAAAGGCCAAAAAGATCTCTTTGACTGCGTCTTCACCCTGTAACTCTTCTGTGCCTGGTGGCTGCAAGGTTGAAATTTATCACTCACAGGGAAAGAATAATGATATTGCAACTGGAAGGCTATTCAAAGAAAAGGGGTGGTGACTATAAGTTTCCAACATCCCAGATAGGCTGTTTTGCAATTTTTCCATCCAAGAAAATGGATTAATGTCAAGGGTGTAGTTGCATCGTATGGTGAAAAGACTGATTAGACAGAAAGTTTTCATCAACATGTTTAAAACAGAAAAAGGCACTAAATGCCCTGTCACTTACTGCTCTCACTAGTGAGGAGATATAGCCCAGAGTAGAAGTGACATTCTTAGGGAGGCAGAAGTAACTGGTAGCCATGAATGCTAAGAGGTATTTTCCTTCACAGTGGCTAGAAATGTGGTTTTGTGGGACTGGATGTAGTGGATAGAAGTGGAAAGGACTTTCCTTCTTCCCCCTTTAGTTTTGCCTGTGATTTCCTGGATGGTGACACTTCCTTCAAATGCTGCTCTGTAGATCTAACAGCCTCCCACTTTGCCTGTCGCCGAAGTCCCAGACTCCTCTCCAATGGATACTACACTTGGACAGAAGACAGTTTCCTCTGTGACAAAGATGGCAATGTAACTCTGAACCCACCCCAGACCAATGTTCTTTACAAGGAGAATTTAGTTAGGTAAGTAGAGGATATTACATGTGAGAATCTGAAGTCTGTTCCACCCACTAGTTATTCATTCGTTCATTTGTTCATTTAGCAATGATTCCTAAGAGCTCATTATCGTGGAAGCACAAAGACTAATATGGGGCAAGGACTGCTGATGTGAAAACAAACAAACGTGCTGAAGCAGTATGGGTGTTGGGGTCAGGGTCTGAACAGAATGCAGTGGAGGAGATGAGGAAAGGAAGCCCATTTTATTTGGGGAAACAGGTTAAAACAAGATTCCTAGAGATAATGAAGATTGATTTGAGTCTTGACAGATATAGGATGTTAGCTAAAATAAAAGTAGCAAGTGAGACTTCCAGAGATGCCCTGGGAGACCCTGCACCATTTGGAAAACGGCAGGTGGTTGGCAGAAATCAACTCAGGGTAGAGGGGCAGGAGGGAAGACTGAGCAGACACAGACTGAACAGAGAAGCTTCACGTCCAGCTCAGGGTGTTTGTTTTTGTTCTGAAGGTAGGGAGGAGCCATTGACAAATGACGAATGACCAGATTTATTCTTACAGTGTAGAGGATAGGTTGCTGGTAGTATGGATGGGTGAGCAGTCAAAATCTTCCGGAAATGCAAATCACATGCGTGTCATCACTAAGCCCCTCCCTTGACATACCCAGTGGTTTCCCTTTACCCTAACATCAAACTGTAACTCTTTACATAATGTTACTATAATGGAGAACCATTCAAGATTCTTCATTCCCTGCCTTCATGTTACCTGTCCAGCCTCATTTCCTAGCACGGGCCAATATGAGACTTACTTGTTCTTCAATGACTGGATCAGATCATCCTCTGCAGCTCAGTGGTCTCCTATCCTCAGAAACCTCCCTTGACTCCTGATCAGCAACACCCTTCCTGATGCTCTCAGAGCAGCTTCCAGTTAATTCCGCTGGAGCACACATCCCCTACCTAGCATGGTAATGCAGACCAGGGACTATGGAGCCAGGCTGCCTGGGTTTCTTCTCAGTTATGCCACTTACTAGATACATGACCTCAGCCAAGTGCCTTAACCTTTTGTACTTCAGTTTCCTGATCTGAAAAATGGGGTCACAATAGTACTTCCCTCACGGGGCTGTTCCAAGGATAATATGAGTTACTTTATGTCAACCATAAAGAAAGACATCTGGTGTGGGATAAGCTCTACGAAGTCATTAGCTTCATCTGCATAGTTCTTGTCTCTCTCCTGTACTGGTTTGTGAGCTTTTTGTACCAAAGGTTTTATTTTGTATCTCAGCATCTTTGATACTGATCCAGGCACCTGGAACACACAGAAATTTAAGAAACTTCTGTGGGATTAACAGAGGGAACAAATGAAATGAGCTTCACAGATCCGAGTTACAGAGATGGATTCTATGCATCAAATCACTTTCACTAAATTCTTGGTTTTGAACCAAACGTGGCTGCTATGCATTATGCATCATGCTACTTTCATTCCTCCATTTCTCTCCAGAATATTTAGAAAGAAAAAGAGAGTCCGCCGTTCCTTTTCTAATCTCTTCAGCCTCGGTACCTCTAAATCCTGGCTGCATGGAAACATCTTTGGCGATGTTGACTCTTCCTTAAGTGAGGACGCCTGGTTAGAGGAGGTCAGGAGGCTGGACATGCAGCATTGCAATGAAACTGGTGAGTCTGAATCTCCTTTTCCACAGTGAAATATCATTCACAAATGGGCAACAGCAACCGTGTGTCCCCGGACCAATATAAATTCCAGAGAAGACCATCATTGCATAGAAAGAATGGGCCACATTTTTTTAAGAAATCACCTAAAGTTCTCTCCACACTACTTACATGATCCAATTACATATGTATTCATGTCATGTATTATGCAAAATAGCCTAATTTAAATGTGTAAATTATTAAGCTGATAATACCTGAAATATGTGTTTGTACATCTTCAGTGTATCTTGTCTATACAGGATATAGATGGAGAAAAGACACTGAAGTTGGGGTCCAAGTCCCTGGGTGAGCACACTGAGATAGTTACTTAACTCTGCTATGTCTCAGTTTCCTTATTTTAAAAACAAGATACATATGCAGAGTATAATATATATATTCATACATTCCTATTGAAATACATGCTACATGTATGTATTATATATACATGTATATCATATATATTCATATTAAATATACATGATATTGTGTATACATATTATGTAATACACAGAATACAATATTACTATATTTAAATATGTGTATATAGATACACATATATGTATGTAAACACAATGATAGGAACTCAAAGTATATCTTAAAGATTAAATGGACAATGAATGTCAAGCATATTTCAATCCCTGAGACTCAGTGATTTGTAGTTACAATTATTTTTATTACTAGAATGAGAACAGTGGTTACTTATTGGGCACCTACCATCTGTGCTAGGTCTGGGGACACAAGAGTAAATACAAATAACGTAACCCCAGCCTCTAGTTTGCTGGGGCAGGGGGGTGAGGTTCAGACCTTTGTCAAATAATTGCACAAACAAATATAAAATAATTGTGGTAAATGCCATGGAGAAAAATATATGATGTAATGAGAGATTTGACACAATCAGAAACTCAGGAAAGTCATCCCCATTGAAGTGGCATTTGAGCTGTTTTCCAGAAAATAGGAGGGGCTTCTCTGGGTAAAGGAGGAAGGTAAGAGACAAAATGGCTAGGTCTGAGGAATCTGGGGAGTAGGTTTGCTGGGTGAGGGAAGACCACATGCATGGTTTGGAGCATGTTGAGGTGAAGTTCCTTTGCGACATAAGGGTCAAGTCAATCTGGGGCTCCAAGGGACAGTGTGAGTTAAAGCTACACATCTGTGAATCGCCTCTGAAGCCACTGAATGGCTGAGACATATTAGGAAGAAGGTAGAGTTGGCAAAGAGGGAGTCCAGAAGGGAGCATTTTGAATGGGTGAATAGGACAGGATTAGTCTGCAAAAGGGATTGAGAGGAGGTATCCAGAGAGGTGAGAGGAAGACTAAGTGTTATGAAATGAGAATCAAAGGAAAATAGGGCTTCAAGAGGGATGGAGCAATTATCAGTGACAAATCATGTTCAGGGGTTAAACAGGATGACAACCGGATTTGTTGATCTTGAAGTTATTGGTGGTGGAGAACTAGGAAGGGCACCTGGGTGGCTCAGTCCATTAAGCATCTGCCTTTGGCTCATGTCATGATCCCGGGGTCCTGGAATCGAGCTCCGTCCACATCGGGTTCCATTGCGTCCCTCTCTATCTGCCCCTCCCCCACTGCTCGTGTTCTCTCTCTCTCTTTCAAATAAATAAATAAAACTCTCTTTTTAAAAAAGAGAAGAGAACCAGAGGGTAGAGGGTGAAGAGTGTGGGAGGTAAGGAAATGGAGGCTGGGGTTGAGGATCCTTCAAGATGCTTTCTGAGAAGGGAGGGAGAAAGACTCCCCCCACCCCCACACACATTCTACTCTGGTAACAGTCATCCTTTTTCAATTTCCTAAATGGACCATGTTCTTCCACACTTCTGTGGCTGTGCTTATGTTATTCATTCTGCTGGAATTCATTCATTCATTCATTCACTCATTCATTCATTCAATTGTAAGATTTATTGAGGGCCAGCTATCTACCAGGGACCATTTTACACACTGGGACATAGTGGCAAGCAAACTTGTTCTCATGGAACTTGCATCCCTGTGGGGGGAGACAGAAAATATGTAAGTTACATAGCCGGTTAAAAGTAGTAAGTGGTGGGACGCCTGGGTGGCTCAGTTGGTTGGGCCACTGCCTTCAGCTCAGGTCATGATCCCAGTGTCCTGGGATCGAGTCCCGCATCGGGCCCTCCGCTCAGTGGGAGCCTGCTTCTCTCTCTGCCTCTGCCTGCTTGCGTGCTTGTGCTCTCTCTCTATGACAAATAAATAAATAAAAATCTTAAAAAAAAAAAAAAAGTAGTAAGTGGTGTGGGAAAAAACAGAGGAGGAAGAGATGGGGATTGCAAGTTTAAGTAGGGCGATTAAGATGACCTCATAAGAATGACTTCTGAGCATTGGCTGCAAAGTGGAACTAAAGCATCTAGGAGAGGAAAAATCCAGGCAAAGGAAATGCCAGCACAAAGGTCTGGACTAGGAGCATCCCAGGGCTGAGTGTGAGAGGGGAGGAGAGAGGATAGGATCTCAGAGGTATGTAGCTGGGTGCAAGTGGGGAAGGACAGGGACAATGGAAAGCCCATTCAAAAGTTTCACCTTCTACTCTGAATAAGGGGAGAACCCATTGGAGGATTTTAATCAGAGGAATAAGATTCTATTTATACATTGACAAGATAACTCTGGCTGCTGTGTTCAGATTAAAGGTAAGATAGGTAGTAGGGCAGAAGCAAGGAAATCAGTTAAGATGATGTTGGAGTGACTCACTGGGGTGATAATAGTAGCTGGAATGAAGTAGGTAGAGGTGAGAAGCAGGAGGATTCTGGATACATTTCAAAGATAGTGCCAATAGGAGAAAAAAAAGAGCCAACAGGATTTGCTGATGTAACCTTAGAGAAAGAAGTCAAGCGTGTTTATTTATAAGCTAAGTACGTTCTGTCCCGTTTAAGTATTTACCTTGTTTATATACATTATCTTGTTTAAATATCCCCAAACCCCCTAGGAAGTAGATCATATGATCATAATTTTTTATAATTATGGTGAAAGTAAGGCTCAGGGTTAAGTGTCTTGCCCAAGTTCATTTAGTTTATAAACAGCAGAATTGGAATCCAATGTGGATCTGTCTGGTTCAAAAACCCAGTCTTTGTTCTAGTGCCAGAAAGGATTTCACTTTTCTTTCCAAGATGAAATCCAACATATACCCCACAGCCCAGGCTCAAAGAGCAGGCAAGAGGAGACATATAATACAACCATATAAGAATTTAATGGTTTAGTACTTGCATGTCTTACTATTTTTCTCATTCTTCTTCCTGGGCAAAAAACACAATGCTACATTCATTAAAAAAAAAAAAAAAAACTTTTTAAGTTGTGGGAATTATAGATTCATGAAAAGTTGCTAAAAATAGTACAGAGAAGGCCTGCATACACTTCATCCATATTCCCTCACTGGTTACAACTTATTCAACTATATACAGTAATTATCAAACCCAGGAAATTGACATTGACACAATATGATTAGGATTTCACCAGTATTTAAATGCACTTGTGTGTGTGAGAGTGTATACTAGATAAATTTAAATTTAAAATCAGAGTAAGTACTTGTTAAATGAAGACATAATTCTTATACAAACAAAAGATTAATTAAATGGAGTGTATCCTAGTTCCCACAATAACAAGGATGTATAAACAGGATGTGAAGAGAAGGAGGCAGGGAAGTGGGGCCTGGAAAGACAGACAGAAGATATATTTGGAGAACCTTCTGTGCCATATTGAGGAGCTTGGATTTTACCTTACTCAATCAAAAGTATCTTAGAAGGCTCTTGAGCAGGGCGATAACATAATCAGGTTTGAATTTTCAAAGATTACCTTGACAGTAACATGAACTGAAGATTGGATGAAGGGTGACAAGTGGGAGCTCAGGGGCGATTAAAACCAACAGGCAGACAAAGGAACATCTAGAAGTAGAGAGGAAGGAAGAGATTTAACAAATATTCTCCAAGGCCGAATGGACAGATTGGTGAATGAGTGACTATAGCCATGAGAAGTGGGAAGAATCAAAGAACACTGGGGGAAGGCAGGAAATGTTGAAGCATCACGAAGAACTGGAAGACAGGACTGGCAGAGTGATGAGGGGAATGGGCATTTGAGCTGAATGGGTCTGAATTCAAGTTCTGAAGCCATCTTTTCCAGCCTGAGTGTTCTTAGGCAAGTTAATGAACACCCCTAACCTCCGTTTCTTCACATATAAAAGAAGATACTAGTAGCACATAGAATTATTTGTGAGGGTGATATGTACTAATTTGTGAAAAGTACATACTTGCATAGGGGCTGGTTCTGCTTGGGACTTATTAGCTCTAAAGCATCAAAAAAAAAATAAAGAACAGATTTGAGTCAAGAAATGAGATAACAAATTCTATTTCACATGAACTGAATTTGAGGCACCAATGGAAAGTAGTAAGATAGCCGGGGAGGTTTGGAAACATAACAAAAGCACTGCAGAACAAGAAAGGACCTAAAGATATTGCTTTGGAAGCCAATAGAAGAAGTTGTTATAGAGGTCTCTGGAATAAAGGGGTTTATTTACAGAAAATGTGAATGAGCAGAAAGGGGAGTTAAAGAAACTGAGGAGGATGAACAGAAGGTCCAGTCATAATTTCCCTTAACCATAATGAGTATCATGGGCCAACATTACACCAACCAACCCATGTACTTTTAAAAGATTTTATTTATTTATTTGAGAGAGAGAGAGAGAGCACCAGCAAGGGAAGGAGCAGAGAGAGGGGAAGACTTCCACTGAGCAGGGAACTCCACATGAGGGTCAATTTCAGGATCCCAAGCTTTTGACCTGAGCTGAAGGCAGACACTTAACTACCTGAGCATTCTAGGTGTCCCCCAGCCACTCCGTATTATGTACATCCCCTCTCTTCAGTGTCTGTGAAGGAGTATTACCCATGTGTGCATGCGCCTGTGTTAAGAACGTTGACCTAAGACCTACACTCTTAGCAAACTTTTGGCCACAACACAGCA